TTCGTTTTTTTTTATTTTTAGATGCCATTGTTTTGAAAAAAATTTTTTTTCATTTTTAGGAACTTATTTTTTCTTTTTTTAATTAATTTTCTTTTAATGTTTAGATTTTATTTAAAAAATATATATATTTTTATTTCTTTCAATTTTTAAAAACTTATTTAATCTATATTTCTTTTTTTAAGCTACATATGTATTTATTTTTTTTTCTTTTTCTATTTAAATTTCTTTAAATTTTTAGTTTTTATTGTTTTAACTCTTTCAGTGCAATCGTCCAATCACAACAAACTTTTTTGGCTTAAAGGTATTTTTTCTTCTGTTCTTAAAAGAACAGTTGTTTTAAGAAAATTATATCAATCTTCTTCACTGCATTTCTTTAATTGCATTTTCTGAATGCAGTTGACAGCGTTTTTTCTTAAAAGTGTTAAATGTAACAAAAGTCGATTTACTATGTATTTTTCGGTGGAAGAAGATTAAAAAAATGTTTAGCTATTATTCATTGTTTTAAAATATAATTCACAGGAGAAAACAATAAAAATAATTGACATCAATTTCCAGTTAACAAACCAACGGTGACACTGTCCAAGATAATGGACGCTGAGTAACGGAAAATCTAACAGTCTAATTAAATTTCTGATTGTATGCATTTTTGAAATCAACGACCCAAAATCATCTGGTATAAAAATTTTCAGATTTTTAGCTTCAACGCTTGATTTTTTGTACTCAAAGGGTTAAAAATAATAATTTATTTATTTTTTATTTTGTTTATAGACAACTTTTTGGTAAAAGACAAACAGAATAACGCTGAGAGTGTTCCATTAGTCTTTGTAAAAACAGAAAAGAGCTTTCCAGATAAATAGTTGCAAGAATTGACAATTGTCTTTCGAAAGACTTTCCCCTTTAAGAATCACTAGTTTCTTCTTCAAACAAGACCCTGAAACAGAGGTACCGTAAATATATTCATGAATATGTGGAAGTTAAATGATAGAATTTGGGCAAGTGTCGTATGTGAGGAACTCTTCTGCTGCCTATCTCAAGCAGAGGTGGGCACCATAAAGGAGGTAATCTACTGGTTGCGTACTAGTGCCATACCACTTAGAAGGGTTAAGATCATGCCCGACAGCCAAGTGCCAATCAGAGGTCTAGAATTATTTATGGTGCGACAATTAATTAGTACTTTACTAAATTTATTACATCGCATATTTATACATTCACTTCACTTCCACTTCCAATGTTTGTTTTGCTTCTGCAATTATTTCTTTTTTTAATAACATACTAAAATTTTAATAAGACTAGAATAACGAAGTCACATTTGTTCTGGTTATTAAAAAAAGAATTTAATTGCTTCTCAACCATTTCCCCGCCATAAACGTGATAAATGTAACGTGAAAAGCGGGTTAATAAAAAAGCTGCGACTAATTTTTTTCATTTATTCCACCGCTTTCAATTCATTTCCTCACGAAATTGTAACGCAGAAGAAGATACAATACCAAGGCTAAATGGTAAAAGATACGCTTGGCTAAGCTTCAAACAAGTTCTTACATAATTGCAAAAGATGCTGATGACGGCTCTGGTGGTCATTGTTGCCGGTTGAGAAATTGCATTTTTTTTTTTTTTGTGAATTTTAGATTGTACGAGCATTCTTGGGACTGCGAGGGTCATAAAAAAAAAAGAATTAGAAAAAGAGAAAGAGCGAATAGTAATAAAGCATTTAAATGCATAATTAGTCTGTGAGCGTGCGCGAAACTTAGTATTTTGAATGCTGGGTTCATGAAACTTGCAAAATTAATTAATGAGCGTCTAAGACCAATGGGATATACTGCATTTGCGTATAATTGAGGCATTTTTTTTTTTATTTTAAATTATGCTAAGAGAAGAAAAATGCAAAAAATAAAAAATAAATAAATAAAAAGTTGAAGGAGCAAAATATTAAAAATAAATGTGATGCTTTTTGTTTTATGAAAAAAAAAAAATACAAAATGCACTGCAGCATATAAAGGCTAGTTTTGCCAAAGTCATATTTTGATGCCAAAATTCATCAACCATCCATCTCTGGCAGCCAATTTTGCAACGCATAAACACAAATGAAGACCTTTTCTAATGTAAGTATGTATGTATATCAATTTATATCCCTTTTTTAGTCTACTTGACAGCGTGATTTCGTTTAATTACATACAGTGACGAGCAAAACTGTAACATGGTGTAACCCTTTTAATTTCAGCCACCGCTATCTTTACAACTTCTAACGACTTTCATACTTTTGTTGTATATTCTTATTGGTACACCCCTACTCCGTCTCTCATAAAGATTTGAAGTCAATCCAACAACAATAATAAAACCAGCAGACAAAAATGTAAATTAAGGCATATGTTACAGTTTTGCACTTATATATTTTTAATAACTTTTTGACAACTTTCACACAAAAAAAGAATTGTTAACACAATGTTCAATATACTTTTGCTTTTTTTAGTTCCTGGATGCTATTTGGCATACCTTATTTGTATCTCTGTAAAAATTCTGGAGGTATAGCCTCCCATATATCCTTGGTTTGCTTTCATAACTCATGTACTCCAATGGACGGACTTGCATACTTAGTAAGCTGCGCTTTTAGTTGATTTCGCAAATTTTCGACGAAATTCATATCCGCGGATTGTGGAGGTCATTTCAAANAACACAAGCCATAAAGCATAAAAAGTTTAAAATTAAAAAAAAACCTGTAGAGCGAAAGAAAACTCGTAGAAACGGGCTTGGAACTCGTAAAAATAATTTATTGCCGATCAAATCTAGCATTGTACTTTTGTTGTTGCGTCAATGTTTTTATTTTTTTTGCAAACAAATAAGTGGCAGTTATTTTGCATAACGGGGGCTTTGAACTTTAAAAAATTAATTAACGAGCATTCAAAACTAATGATTAAATATGTTGTTGGGAGAAAGAAATTTAAAAAAAAACAAGCCTAGCGCGAATAACACAAAATTACATAATAAAAAAAAAAATGTGCGAAAATATTTGTTGACATACACAGAATATGGGAAACGGACTTTGAACTCGTAAACTAAAAAATAAAAATAATAGAAAGTCTTATTTTTACAAGTCTATTTATTTTGTTTATTTAATATCCAACGTTTCTTATAAAAGTCTAAGTCATTTTATATAGTATAACACCTAATCTGCATATCAACATTTCAAACTTGGTAGGTTAGGTTAGGTACAAAAATGAGAAAAATTTAACAAATTTACAGCAAAATGTCAAACTTTATATTCAGAATTTTTAGACAAATTTTAGGTGTGCAGTTTTATAGCCCAATAAATTTTAAGTATGTATGCATAACAAAGTCTCAACCACCTAAAAAGTCGCGTTGATTTTTAATAATTTTTTTGCTGTCGAACTTTTACGGTTGTTTTTTTTTTACATAAAAAGTGCAGTTTATAAAAACTGAAGCTGTTCTTTTTTATTTTTTTCATTTTAAAACGGTCTTTCGCATTTGTTCCATAAGAAATTCATGTTTGAAGCACCCTTTGTGACGAAGAAAATGCACAACAACGTCAGCTAAAAAGATTATCAAAAATCAGCGGCGTTTTGTATGCACTTTAAACTTGCATTTTACTCTACCAAAATTTAGTGGACTGTAAAACTGCCCATAACCATTAAACATTAAATAAACAAAAGAAATATGTTTAGCCAAAACTAGTCAAAATAGGGTGTTTCTACCAGTGTACAGGCATACATATTAGACCGTACTTATTAAAGAATTTTTGCACAGCAAATTCGAGAAAACAAAAATTTGGCCGAACTTAGTGGTTGCTGGTTTACATTTTTTGTTATATCTGAGGCATTTATATACAGTCGGATCTTAAAGTATGACATATTGATGTTCTTGTTTCGAGGAGACAATTTTTTTGTTCGAAAGTTCTCATGTACCCTTAGTAGTAGTACCACCCTAAAGTTAGTTAAAGCTCACCAAAAATCATTAAACTTTTGCTAAGGAAGTATTTGAATCTTTCTGTAGAACTAAAGACTAAGTAAATGTTGAAAAAAAATTAAAAAGTCAAAATTTGCATGTCAAATATAATTTTTACGTTGACATCAGCGCCTGCAGCGGTTCCATTTTTAGGCAAATCTATGTCTTACTAAGTTTCAATTAAACATACCATAAAATGTGAAACAAATCACAGCTGAAATACGGGTTTTCAATATATCTCGACCCTGGTGCCACCAGAAAAAAAGCAACCAAATAAGCCTATAAATAAGTTAGATGTACGACTTTTATTTTTTTTTCGTGGTAGACTTTCAGCTGGAAATACCCATATTCAAATTTTCTGTCAAATGCACGAAAAATATTGATTTTCAAGAATTCTATACGATTTCTACGAAAAGTGGGTTTTCCCCGTATAAAATATATGGAAAATTTTAAGCGCTTTGAGCGACCTCTAAATATCTTTTGATTTCAAAATAAAAAAAAGTAGGAGGTGAGAGCATTAAACTTCTGACTTTAGTTTTTTTTTTTACACCCCTATTGTACATACAATAATGGTTGTCAACAGTTGATAAGCGTATACATAATAATAATACATATTAATCAATTTAATTTTTATAGAACTTATAGACATATATGTATATATGTATGTATGTATACTGACTAGGGATGTTAATTTTTCAGCTTTTTCCAATACCGGGATTTTCGAGATGTCTTTATCACAATCGGGATAAATCCCGGGATTTAGATATTCATTACTTTTCAAAAACTTAAATCGAAAAAATTGCTTCTATATTGTTTGAGAAGCTCTTCTACCATAAAATAAATAATAAATACTTAGATGGGTTTGAAACCTACTTTTTTACTTAAAGTGGCGCTTTTATTTTTTTCTCTCTTACGTCAGGATATATTTTAAAGAACTTTGTAATTTCAAAGATATGTTTAATTCCAAAAATTTCTTTAGAATTTAAAAACTTGAAATTTTTTGATTCACAAGGACAAATAGGTAATTTTTTAAGCTGATAAAGTATATAAGTCTTTAACATATAATTTTTTTTTAAGACAAATATTGCGAAATTTCAAGGATAAAATTTTAAAAGGACATTTTCAATATTTACCAGTCCTTCTGCATCAAAAGCTTGAATCTGTTTAAATTCAGCAGGTTTTCCTCTTTAACTGGATACCCATACTTTTCCTCTAAGCACATTTCGCTGAACGTCAGAGTAAAAAACTAAAACCGCAAATTACAAATCCCGAAAATCCCGGAATCATTTGCCAGGAATTCCTAATACTGGACGTGATGAAATATTTAATGAAATTATATACTAACTACCACAAAAATTCAGTTTAAAATTATAAAGCGGAAATAATATACATATATGCATATGTATGTGCATATATATTTAGTGTAATTAATATGAAAATAATATGTACTTGCCACTTTTTTATTAATAGTTTTTTGCGAGCTATGAAATTGTTCATCGGTATTGCAATAGGAAAACCTAGTGACTGAACTTAATGTGTTTCCCTGACCATTTGACAAAAATTATAGACAAAAAAATCGACTGGCTATCGAGCGATGATTATCTACAAATGAATTTCGGCAAACAATTGGACTTTAGCCGCATAGCATTTGTCTAATTAGTTTAAAAACTGAAATTATGTATACGAATATGTGCCCTAAGCTTTTGTCTTTCGAAAGACTGGGGTGTGTTGAAAGACAGTTGCAAAATTGTCCAGTTAATATACAGCTCACAAGAAAAATCTGAAGAAATATTTTTCATTACATCTGTTGCTTGAAAAAGTGCTTGACCTTTGCTGTAAATTTTCTTGAAGAAAACTTTTTTCTGCTTTTTTTTTACGCGTAATTTTTAATGAATTCTTCGTTTTTCTCAGTGTACGAAAATAAACTATATTGTACGTTACTATTTCGTTTCGTTTGATTACTTTAACGTTTGGTACAATACGAAAACAAAACGGCTGAGTTCACTTTGGCGATAGTACACTACAGTAGTTAGTAGTTACATACGAAACACCAAACGAAATCAGGGTACGAAAATAAACTGTACAAAACAATTCCCATTTGACATCGATCATCATATCATTTGTGGTTTTGATACAGTTTTGTACATAATCAGAAACAAATTGTAAGATTCACTGTCATTTTCCCCAACGAGAAACGTTTGCTTTTCGTTTGTGACAATTGTACCATAGGGTACGTTTTATATGTATGCAAACGTTTCAATTACGTGAAAAAAATTTTTTCTGTAAATTTTCATATCCAATTCAATTAAAAAACATTTTTATTTTTTTTATTCATTGCAGCCATTCGTTTTGTAGTTATTGCATATATGTACATACATACATATATTTTCCCTGCACGATTCATTTCGTTTGTTGTTTCGTCTGTAACTACTAAACTACTGTAGTGTACTATCGCCAAAATGAACTCAGCCGTTTTGTTTTGTATTGTATCGAACTGTTGAAGTAATAAACGAAACGAAATAGTAACGTACAATATAGTTTATTTTCGTACACTGAACGAAATGAATCGTCCAGAAAAAAATATATGTATGTATGTACATATATGCAATAACTAAATACAAAACGAATGGCTGCAATGAATAAAAAAAATAAAAATGTTTTTTAATCGAATTGGATATGAAAATTTACAGAAAAAAATATTTTTCACGTAATTGAAACGTTTGCATACATATAAAACGTACCATATAGTACAATTGTCACAAACGAAATGCAAACGTTTCTCGTTGGGGAAAACGACAGTGAATCTTACAATTTGTTTCTGACTATGTACAAAACTGTACAAAACCACAAATGATATGATGATCGATGAGCAAATGGGAATTGTTTTGTACAGTTTATTTTCGTACCCTGGTTTTTCTTGATTCTCTAAAAATCAACGCGATTTTTTAGCCGTTTGAAACTTGCACTTCATTAGACTGAAATTGTATGGGCTATAAAACTGCATACCCAAAAATTTTCCAAAAAATTCAGAATAAAAAGTTGAAATTTTGGTGAAAATTTGTCGAATTTTCCTAAATTTTGTATAAAATTTGAAATTGTGATTTACACGGCTTTGGTTAAAGCTTAGACGATATTTTCATACAAAAATAACAACCACAAAAATTAGAAGGAAAAATATTACGAATATTAAAAAAACAATCAGGTGGTCATTTGTTTGAGTCACTGTACATACATAACTACCAATTCGAGTTACTTTATTTCAAATATGTACATACATACATACATAACTGGCAACAATAAACAAATGAATGCTGTAAATTGCGCATACCGGGCATTTTCTTATCAGTAACCTGAAAGTGCATCAAATTTTCAAGACTGTGTCGGCTCTAATAGCACAAAGTAATTGCAAAAAATTGTAATTGAATAGTGAAAAAAAATTATAAAATTTAAAGTCTTGTCGTTTTAACGGCTGTGTTAGTTAAGTGGGGTTGAGTGCGCATGTAAAGAGGTGGTTTGTGTCACGAAGGGAAAATGCCGGACACAAATTGGGTACGTCGGGGTTTAGTGTGGACAGATAGGAATTTAACTTACCACCATATACAGACCGCAATTGAGCAAATTTTTTCAGTCCTATTCAGAGTTTTAACGAACATTTTGTAAACGAAAATTTTATTAAAAAAAATTCCCATTGAAAATTTATTTAACGATTTAAAAAGTCTGCAAAAAGAATTATCGATTATCGGTTGACGTGGTCTAAAGTTATACGGTAACATACATAAAAACAAAAAAAAAAAAATATTCCGACGAACTGATAACCTCCTCCTTTTTTGGAAGTCGGTTAAAAAAGTTGCAACAATTTTTTTTTTCAATTTTAATTTTAAATTTTTATTTTTTTGTATTACACATAGCAGACTAAGATTTAAAAGAAAAAAATCAGAAAAGTTTTTGACGCTTTAGACACCAGAAGCAACAACAAAATATACGGAAATGTTTTTGCGCTAAAGCTACTACTACCTACCTGTTTGATATGCCTTGGTACCACACAAAAAATACAAAAATTAATATTTTTTTAGTATTTAGTATAGGAACAAATTTGACTGTAATATATCGTTACCTAAAGGTGAAAATGTACCAAGGCCATTTTTTTGAAATGGTTCAAGAGAGACGAAAAATCATTGTAGTTTCGCATTATCGGTCATTCTGCATCGAACACTAAATTTTGTGAAAAAGTGGACTTGACACCTTTTCACCTTTAGGTAGCGATATGTAGGTATTTATTAGGGTGTTCGATTATTCGCTTTTTTCGAAAAATTGCAATTTAAAAAAAACCGGTTCAGGATTTTTAAATTAAGAAACAAATGGATAAACAAGTTTTATTTTACATTCTTACAGTCAAAATTCTTATGTTAGTATGAGGTGATGACCAAAAATTACAATAAAGCTGTTAAGAATAAAGATAGCTTTAATTAAGAAAAGAGTAAGGCAAATAAGTTCAACGTTTTTTAGATCAAAAGCTCTGGCCGCCGTAGCTGAATGCTTGCATCTGCCTACTACTACTCGGGAGGCCATGGTTCTGGTCCCAGCTTCTTCGGAGGTGAAGTAAGAGTATAGATATCCATTTGTGTCACAACGTCAAGAATCAGAAGAAGAATGTCAGCAGAAGAAGAAGGTCAAACACGTGGAAAACGTTTCAGCGCCAATAATTCATTTATTGGAATCAAATATTATATATGTATAATTTTAAAACTGTTTAGGGGTTTCCCTTATACTGAAAAAAGCCTTGAAACTTCGAAGACTAAACTTTTATTGAGAGGCTAAGATTTGTATTAAATGAAAAAACCGGTTTGTTGGACAAAATAGTCCGGTTTTTTCGATATTAGAAAAATCAAGATATCAAAAATACCGCATATAGAAATAAATTTAAAAAAAAAAACGGTGAAAACCAGTTTGGAAAATCCTAGTCAGTGCTCCTAGTATGTATATAAAAATATTAATTAAATATCTACACTAAAAAGATAAAACAAATTGCCAAACAGTATGTACGCACATGCATATAGTCATGTGAAAAATAATAGGGACACGACATTTTGACCAGTTTTTCCATTTTTTCTGTGCGTAACAAAAACTATACAAATTTAAAGCTTCACAGTATGTATCATCGAAAATTTTTTGTATGGAAGAAAGTACCATCGACAACAAAAATGAAACTTGCCATTTATTAAGCTAGAATTTAATGGGCTATAAAACTGCATACTGCGAATTTTTAAAAACTTAAAAAATAATAAAATGTAATTTTTTTTTTAATTTTTTTTGTTTTTCTACAAAGTTTGAAATTTACTCTTATAAGGTTTTTGTTGTGGTTGTGGTAATGAGGTGTATTTTAGAAGCTTTTATTTAACTTAGTTTTTAATTTAAAAATAATAAACATTAAACAAACAAAAGAAAAATAGCCAAAACTGGTAAAAATGTCGTCTGCCTTTTAATTTTTTACATGACTGTGTATCTGCATATTATGTTGATAAAAGTAGAAACAAAAATGTGCATATGGGTTTCTAAATTACTTTGCCTCTAAAAGCCATCGTTAACAGGTCACAATTCATCGATGTTTGAACTTAAGTTGCTGAAAGAGATAATGGCAAAATCAAACTGGCGAATTCGCAGCGCTTAGCATATGCCCTCAGGGCGTATCAACTCGCCGGTTGTTTGCTAGGTCCCAAGCGAATACCCTGAAACCATTAGCGTGCAAAATAGTTAAAAAAAAAAACTGAAACAGCACCCAAACAATGCGCTTAATCACGACTTCAACGCCTGCGGGTTGCGAATGGATGCAAAACAATCCATCAATTTTGAAGTAAGCAACCGCGAATGAGTGAGCACGCGATTAGGGCATTGAACCTGAGTAGAATCACAAACGCAAGCACTGCCAGCTAGTCTTTTTATTTCCATTACATTGGCGAATATGCTAATGAATCAAGAAGTAATGGAAGGAGAGGATGGCGATGACGACGACCCAAACAACAGAAGTGAAGTAATTGACATACATAAGTACATTAAAAGAAGAAATAAAGTACATAGTTAAAGAGGTTACTAACTGACGTGTCATATGTTGGTTTTGAGGGAATGGGGAGCAATAAGAGTAGCACAATTGAACATAGCGGCGACGCATAAAGGAGTGCCCACTATGTATGTAGCACTGACAGCCACATGAACATATTATTTTGTTTTGCCAAATGTAGTCCATGGCTGCAACACAGTTGAGCGTATTGCGCTCAATGTGGCTAAAAACCACTAAATTAAATCCGCCACAATAGCTTTACAAACCGCCGACCACAACAAAAGGGCTGCCTAACAACGTAAACTTGGCGCTCCCCAATTTGTTGCATTCCTACTATACTACTTTGCATTTGGTAATAAAATACAGGGCCACAACTATGGTTGGCAAACTTGCGAAAGGTTGGCTTACTCTATCAACGCTGGCTGATGCGCTGCGCCTCTACTTGGGACTGCACAATTTGCTACAGCTGCCAGATGCTCCCGCATGTTCCATTTCCGTTGTTTCGTGCACGTATCGCAACTGCGGACACTTTCCCTGCATTTGGCCTGCACCATACTGGGCGCTTCGTTGTGTTCTTCCTTTATTTTATTATCGCTCTTCTGGTGTTTACATTTTTTATGTAAAACATGCACCATATTTGCGCATTGCGCTGTTCTACTTAAAAATTATTTCCAAAAGAAAATCTTCGATTCAATTTCGATTCAAAAAAGCTCAAATGCTTTTGATGCAATGGCACCAAATCAAAATATTTTCTTTCTTACCTTATACTTAGTATTTGCATATTCCTTACTGCACTGCAAAAGTTTCCCAGCTGCTGTCAACTACAACGCCTCCAAAAACACTTTGCCCTTCATACAATCGTTGCTGTTGTACCGCAGCTGAAAACATGCAACCTTCAGTCCACTCACTCCTGCTGAAATATCACCTATCATCTGTGGTTACCATCTACCAACACCTGCAGGGGGGATTGTTTTGGTTTCAATTTCCAATTGGCAGCACAACACCATAAGCACAAAACTCAACAATAAACTTGAAAACAAAAAACAAATTAGCACCTTATTTTGTTGGCTATATATACAATTTCTAAGCACTTGAAATCCACTGCACACACGGCGTCGGGTCGTTCATTTCCCTTTGCGCTGTCACATGCAATGCAGATTGCACTTGTTCACTTGGAAGCACATCCCATACGTGCTTTTCATGTTAATTATCTATATTTATATGCGTAATTTCTATTCTTTGAATTATACTAGCGATTTGTGCCACACGCTGCGTTTTGGTGGAAATTCTGTTTACGACTGGAGGACCGATAACGCCACGGAAAATTCAACAACCAACAAACAAGAAAATTGACAGAAGACTGTCCGCTTTGGAACATTTGTTTTTTCACTTCCAATTGGTGGATTTCGCATATTCCAATCAGAAAATCGACGGCGTTGCCAGTGTGAAATGCATTAGTTTCTAACAAGAAAATGTAAAATGAAAATCAGGGTTGCAAATTCGCAGGGTGCCTTTGATGAAATTTTTTTTTGTTATTTCGAAAAAATGTTTGATGATGCATTTCCGAATGTTCCTTTTTGCAGTTACTCGAAAAAAGTTTCTAATGATGCATATAAAAACGTTTCTTTGTAATTTGCTTTTAATCAGGTTTAAAATTTTTTAATTACGCATGGATAAGCGCGCTTTTTCACGGATGTGTAGAAAAATTTATTTCCCCAGGCAAATATTGTTGTCATCCAAACTTTTTTTGAAAGCTAAACAGTAAGTTTACGATTTTATTTTGGTTAAAAGTACACATATAAGAAAATTACGTGATTGACGGGATATCTACCCATCTACGGGATTTTACCCATCTCTAATCGAGACTTCTTAAAAATAATGAATTTTCGTGGCAAAATATTCGACATCCTGAATTGAGACCCAATTGGTATAACTTATTGCACCCTTTCCGCCACATACTTTCCCCTCATACTCATGGCTCGAATCGTCACATACGATATCGTACTAATCATCACGTAAAAACACATTTTTCGGATTATGGCATACGTGAACGTACTCTGTGTCCCACTCAGGGCTCGAATCGTAACATCCGTTCACGGATCGAAAACGACACGAAAGAAAATTACGTGATACGTCAGGCAGTATAAGCTGAATGGGACAAAAAGTACGTTCACGTATGTCTTAATCCGAAAAATGTGTTTTTACGTGACGAGTAGTACGATATCGTTCGTGACGATTCGAGCCCAGCTTATACTGCCTGACGTATCACGTAATTTTTTGGTATCGTTTTCGATCAGTGAACGGATGTTACGATTCGAGCTCAGGACTCGAATCGTCACATACGATATCGTATTACTAGTCACGTAAAAACACATTTTTCGGACTATGACATACGTGAACGTAGCTAAGCAGTTTTATCTGCATTGTCACAGAAATGGCAAGAATCCTTAAACCAGATCGCAAGTTTAAGTCGCCTTAATTTGCAATAACCAGTTTCGATGTCTGTTAGAATGCTTTTTCGACTTTCACAATTCCTCAGCCACCTACCTAACTCCTTAACGAATTCGCCACCTTAATCTAAACTTAAGTGAACTTGGCGGTTGATTCAGGATTTTACAGCGAGCAATATATCGAAATGTCCATAGAACATACTTACTCATTTCAATTATTCCATCATTCGCTTAAATTCCATTTATTACTGTTTTAAAATTCGGCGAAATAAAAATCATTTGTTTTATACGTTAAAACGCTTAATCGGTTTACTTAAATAATTCTCTT